AGGCGATAGCGCGTCCGCGAGGGGCAGGAGATAAGGTTTGGACCAGGAGGTTGGAGCTTTTGCTCCTGAAGCTGAACTGTGTGAAGACGAGGTGGAGGTGGGCACCACAGTCGCCTCCAGGCAGAAGAAGCCACCTGAGCAGGGGCTGATTGCCCAGATGACCTCTCTCTTGTGGTTTGCAGTACTGTTGTGCACGGGCGTTGCAAGGAACTTAGTAGGAAAAGGAGGGGTGGGTGTGCACGGGGGCATGGGCAAACAGCAGGAGACGTAGTTTAAAATGGGAAGGTGCAAAGGTGGAACGTGGCCCTGGCCAGTGCTGGCATGTGTCACAGCCCTTGTCACTGCAGTGCCCCTCTCTGCTGGTTCCCAGGCTGGCAGATGCCAGGAGCACCGTACTGAGGTCTCTCTGCCCTGGAGGGAGTCCTGTGCTCTGCTCCGGGACTGGAGGGGCGGAGGTGAGGACGCCAGGAAGTTCCCTCAAAGGGAAAAAAAAGGAGTGAAATCTGATTATACATCGTATGTGTACCCGTGTGAACGCATTAACGTTGCTCTGAACCTCATCTATCGGCCTCTTGCGCGTGTCTCCCTGTGCTGCAGCGTTTCATCCTCTCCGGGGCCTCCTGCTGTGCTTCACAGCCCTCCCTGTCCCGGGGAGAGCAGCTCCAACCCTCCTCATCGTCCCCCCAGCATGTGACGCAGCCAGCATGGCCGAGGGGGCACCCACTGGGTGTCTCTTTAAGAGCATGCTTGGCTCAGAGCCCTGACCCGCCTCTGGGCTCAGTGTCACCACCTCCTCCTCCCCTACACAGCTGAGTTTCTGTTTCCCCAGCTTCTTTCGCTGGCTTCTTTTCCCCCCCGTCACCGCGATCCAGGGCGCAGGCAGGGATGGCATCACCCATCCCACCGAAGCTGGAGGAGAAGCTGGTGTGCTGCATCTGCCTGGAGCTGTTCAGGCTGCCCGTGACCTTGCCCTGCGGGCACAACTTCTGCAAGCGCTGCATCAGCGACCACTGGCACAAGCAAGAGCAGGCGCCCGCCGGGGCCGAGGAGGGCTACACCTGCCCCGAGTGCCGCAGGGGCTTCAAGCAGCGCCCGGAGCTCGAGAAGAACGTCACCCTGTGCGGCGTGGTGGAGCTGGCGCGGGATGGCGAGGCGCGAGGCTCCGGCACGGCCAGGTGCGA